AGAAGTATGAAACCCATATATTTACAGAGTTTATATTTTATCATGAAATTTATGTATGTATTCTCTTTGACCAAGCCTCATAAAGCTATATACTTAAAGAATTTCTGAAATTACCTAGCTTACGTAGAGTTTTTCCTCAAATGTAGCAATTATATATTCTACTAGCGGATATAACCCGGCCTTGCCCGTGGCACGTATGTTATAAAATCAATGTTCTCAAAAAAATTTAAAATGATTTTGAAACTGATCGGACGGTAAACAAATAACTTTCATACAAACGTTTTCCGCCAATTTACCACTGTTGCGAGTGGAATTTCCCAAATCGCTGAAAGACGCATTCATTACATTCTTATGTAGAGCTTTGAAAAAAGGTTTGAAGCAAATCGGACACAATATAAAACTTCGCACAAAAAATCTTTGAGTCGCATTCCACCCGAAAAAGTTTCGATTCTGCGAAAAGTGTGAAACACGTCTCAAATGATTTTTCTTATAGATCTCTGGAAATGAATTTGAGCGCGAAACGTCACCTACCAAATCTTTGACCTCCATTTCCACCAAGGAGGAACGTATTTTTCGAAAAGTGTGAAACACCCCTTAAATGAATTTGAACAAAGATCTTTGAAAATAAGTTTGGGGCCGATCGGATGGTAAACAAAAAACTTCCATACAACCGTTTTCCGCCAATTTACCACTGTTGCGGGTGGAATTTCCCAAATCGCTGAAATACGTATTTATTAAGTTCTTATGTAGAGCTTTGAAAATAAGTTTGAAGCAAATCGGACACAACTTAAAACTTCGCCCAAAAAATCTTTAAATCGCATTCCCCCCGAAGAAGTTTGAATTCTGCGAAAAGTGTGAAACACGTATCAAATGATTCTTCTTATAGATCTCTGGAAATGAATTTGAGCGCGAAACGTCACCCACCAAATCTTTGACCTCCATTTCCACCGAGGAGGAACGTATTTTTCGAAAAGTGTGAAACATCCCTTAAATGAATTTGAACAAAGATCTTTGAAAATAAGTTTGAGGCCGATCCGATGGTAAACAAAAAGTTACATGCAAACGTTTTTCGCGATTTTGCCACACTTTCGGGTGGAATTTCCTGACACCCCGTCTTAACGTGCACCTACATCACATAAGGTAACTACAGTGAAAATTTCAGCTTCCTAGCTCTTACGGCTTGGGCTGTGCGTTGATCACCAATCAGTCAGTCAGTCAGTCAGTCAGTCAGGACAAACAGTTTTATATATAGAGATATTCGGAAAAAATCTGGCAAATAACTGCAAAAATGCAATACAACAAAAAAAAAGAAACGAGACATATTCCGATAAGTTTTTACACTTAAAGGACAATTACTTTAAATCTGAAATAGATTTTTATTTTATTTATAAAACATAATTATTATATATCTAGTTATCTCCGACCGCATAAGCATATATATTCTTGCTCAGCATCAACAGCCGGGTGGATCTATCCTTCCGTCCATCTGTCCGTGTGCATGAGCGTTTCGAACTTTAGGAAGTAGAAAAATTTAGAAAAGGGCTACTTTTGATGGGCGCACAGATCAAGTGTATCTTAAAACATCGGTAACTTGCCGAATTAACAGCCATTAACGTATGTGAAAAGCCAGGTCCACAAACCGATCCTCGGGCAAGAGAGTTCCAAGAGAACTCGGAGTTGCAGAGGGCGATGGCTTCTGCTCCGGCTGTGCGTATGAGTAATATGTAGTAACATTTTATAGAAGAGTCGATTGGAGTGGAATCAAATCGAAACGCCGATTGCCGGGCTGCGAGTCTCTTATACTATGCAGCTGGCATTGTCTTCTCTCTCTTTGTTCTTCTTCTTCTTCATGCCCACTTTACATACATATCTCAATATTGGCGTTTGCCAATTGCCGACTGTTGTTTGGTTTGCAGTTTGCACGCACAGTAATACCGCGCGGATCGGAAATGCCAAAGCGGCTGAAGGCAATGCATAAGCAATAAATAGCGGCAAAAACAACAACAACATAAACATAAAAACAATAACCAAGAGTATTGAATGAGTGCGAAAAAAAAGTAAATTAAAGATGAATGTACAAATATTTCACTGAACACCTACATACCTGTGTACGTGTGTTCAGATGTGTCTGCATTCGCTTATATGTAAATTACAATACAATGCACATAATGTGTAAAGCAAAAATAATATGTAAATATGTTGCTTGGGTCGTGTGAATGTCATGGACCTTAATTTTCGGCCAGCAAAAACAAATGTTTCCGGCTTCTGGTTTAGGTTAATGGAAATGGAAAATACGAGTTAGTATTTAAACAAATTATTAAACAATTTAAGAAATTTAATAAACACTTGGTCATAGAGCTTATCAGACCAGGATACAGGGTATCTGATGGTCAAAACACAGAGACACGATACAAAAAAACCCAGGTAAATAGTTGAACGGAAGTACGGAAGTGCAACAAAGTGGTTAGAATGTTATGCGGCAAGCGGCAGCGGCAACAACAACAATAATAAATACAGCAGGCTAACTAACTAAGAATCAAAGAAATCAACATGCAGCAAAAACATTGAAAAATGCAATGTCACATCCGTTTTGGGACATGAAGTGTGCGCATAAATTAAAACGCTCCTAAAGAAAAGGAAGAAACTAAGCAACCACAACATTAACAACAACAGCGACTGTGGCACTGTGGCGCTGTTGAGTCACATTGATGCGACAGCGGCGTCAACAGCGTCTTGCTTAAGATTTAACCCTAAGCATAGCCCTCTGCCAGCGCTTAAGCTTTTGCTGTCGCGTGCCAAAAATAGAGCCGCAGCAAGGGCGGGCAAAGTCAAAGTCGGGCAGGCGATGCGTCAAATACATACATACCAGCTCTCTCCGTCTCTCTCATTCACCCATCACTGTATGTCGATTATGTATGTCGTGAATAACAGTCGCAATCGCAGTCGCAGTCGCTGCTTTAAAGTTTCAATAAAGCGCGTGCGGCTGGCAGCAGCCGGACATCGCGTCGTGTAGTCTGCGACGGCGCTGCTTGCTTGCCTGCTTTCTTACTCACACTCACAAGCGCGTGCTCACACTCGCCGCACTCCATACTCCACACTCACACTTATACTTACTCTCACTCGCTCTCGCCCTCGCTCTGTCTGTTTTGGCGCACTGCGCCTGTGTGTGGGTGAGTGTGCCCCACTCGTGTGCTAAGCGAACAACGGCCTCTCGGCTGGATTCGTCGTGTATTGTTTTTGATGCCCGCAAGTCTGCGCGTGTGTATGTGTGGTCGCTTTGCTTACATATGATTGGCTGGTAATTACACTTCGCCTAAATTGTCGTCATCACTTGTTGCCGTCACTTGTCGCCGTTGATGTTGCTGTTGTTGTTGTTGTTGTTGTTGCCCAAGATGCTTTTGTGTGTGTGTTTCGAGCTTTGCGTTCGGGCAGCGGCTCTCGCACGTTATTTATATGCTGCGCGCGCCACGAAATATTAAATAAGTAACAGATCTTGAAGAGTTAACTTGTGCCGGGTGCCCCGTCCACTCCAGTCCAACAGCAATTGTAACAGTAAACCATACAAAATACAATAACAAGACTCGCCAATAGTTCAAGTACTCGCGTTTCACTTGCGAATTCGTTCGGGAATTTCTTAATACTGTGTGTGAATAAAATGCCCAAAGCAACAACAGCAGCAACAACAATGACAACAAAGTTAAGCACATGCGGCGGCTTCGTAACGCGCCGTATTAGCCAAATGCAAGCCAGAAACGAGCACAGCTCGTCTATTGCCACCGCTAGTCCAGTGTCCTTCAGCAGTTGCCTGCGGCACGACCCCGTCTCGGTTGCAGCAACAGTTGAAGCGCCAACAACAACCGCTACAACAACTGCAACAGTTGCCTGCCAGCGTATATGCGGCATACAGCCCTGCAGTCGAATGTGTAAGTTTGTGCCACGGCACGTGCTGCCTGTTGCAACAGTTGCAACAATTGTTGCGCTGCATCCAAACACAGCGCCAGTCACAGTGATTCACCCACCCAGCACTGTGCTGTTTTCTAATCAGATTTAATCATCATTTAATCGCTACGTACGTCTATCTCTATGTGTGTGTGTGTGTGTGCGTGTGTGCTTGTGATATGACAGTTTATTTATTGGACTTCGCCGTAAAAGTGTCACGGCAGCCTTTGTTGCCATAGGTTTCGCTTAGGGTAAGGGTAAGGTAAGGGCAGTCGATGCTGCCATTTTTATATAGGTCAGGGTTTGTTTTCCCCTAATTCCAATTGGAAAGTGCACGTGCACCAATTAGTCAAGCTAATTAGATAACGAGAAAACTAGGATAAACAGAAGGATAGTTGAACTACATTTGATTTGCTTATATTTTGTCTAATTAAATTTATTATTATCTGAAAAATACATTCTGAGGAATTAATAAGTACGAATCTTGGTAGGTTCCTTTGAGTCTGTTGCAGGATATATGACTAAATCTGATGCTGCTTAAGCAGTTGGACTTGACGCTATAATGATGTTCTGAAAGCATTATAAAGTAATTAATTATGAATATTTTCCAAGGAAACAACAACAATTTTGGACCCATCTTTAGAGTTTTGCCTCCTTGACGTGGGATCGAAAATAATTATGTATTATTAAATATGCGAAGCAATAGATATTATTTAATTTAAATTTAAATATAAATAGTTCGTATTTCATGCGTAATCGAAATGGAAGCTTCGTTAAGAATTTCATTGGGGTTTCAAGCTTTGGATCTTCTAAGTAACAATTTCTTGCTGCACTCTGCTTTGTGCTTATTTCTGTTTTTTTTTTTTTTTTTATGGGCTACAAAATAAAAACAATGCCCATGCTTTTTATTTGCATAGTATGCGATTCCGGTTAAGATTCCTATAGCTTTTCGCATGATACAAAAAGCTAATATTACAATTTTTGTCGCCTTAAGCTTAAGTTTATGCATTGACAATTCCACAAGTTGTTAAACATATATGTATTTGAATTTTCAATTGCAGCTAGTGGCAACTATTGGGTACTTGGTGCACTGCTGATAATACTGACCGCCAGCTGTCTGCCGAGCTCGATCGCGTCGCCCCGTCGCATGGTTGGTCGACACTTGATACTGCCGCATCGTCATCACGTGCATCTGCGCTCCGCGGAACAGGAACACCATCTGCCACCAAAGGAATCTGTGAACTGCACGGTGAAAATGAATGTGACCGAGGCAACAACCGCGCATGCCATAAATGTCAGCGAGACGACACGTGATGCCACCATTGCGCTGCTGAAGAACTGGGTGAGTAGACTTATCGCTGTGGAGTCAGGAGTACGGCCCGCTAACTGGTTCTCCAATCTGTTCGTCCTCTTCCCGGTACAGCTGAAGTTGAAAGGCTTCAACTCGACGGAAGAAGCCCAGCGGCAATATATACTGCATGATCTCGATCTGGAGTATCCGCTCAAGGAAGCTGCCAACAATAGTGAGTACGACGGCGAGGACAGCGGGTCAGCGGAAGAAGAGCTCTTCAAAATACTCGACTCGCTAACCAAATTGAGTCAGTTGATGAACCACAACAATAAATCCTTGCTCAAGGATTGGTACGAATGCTACTTTAAACACTTTGAGGACAAGCTGGAACACAACATGTTCGTGGCCGCGCACATGATGGGCAGGGAAAATTGCACCATGGAGACCACGAATAAGGTGCCCGATCACAATGAAAAGCATCCGCTGCTGGAGTTTGCCATTGTCCACGAGATGACCCGGCTGCTGAATGTGCTGGAGAAAAAGTATAGGGTCATGCACCGACGTGTGACGGAGGCTGCGAATGCCTAAAACTCTGTTACAGACGAAGCCCTAAAAACGTACAAGAAAATGCCAAAAAAGAAGAAGAAGGAGGAGAAAACTAATCTAAACTAAGCAGCAAATCGAATTCTAACGTAATTTCTGTGCCTTACATTATTATTATTATTTTTTAATCCTGCATGCCATCTACGTTTACTAATAGCTTGTATTAGTTAATTATGAACCCTCTCACCGCTTACGTTGATTATTTATTTATTAATATATATATTTTATGCGTATAGTATATTCGATATAGTTATTTGTCAATTTTCATCAATTGTTATTATTTATGTATTCATTTAATCGTCTGAAAAATTGTATTTATTATGTTTAATTAATTTATTCATTTAAAATTTCGATTGTTACTCGAAATCGCCTTGAATCTTATAATTTTTTTGTTCTGTCGATTTTCTTTCTGTCAGCTATAAGCCCCAAGTATTATAAAATAATAAACGCAATTTGCGACTTTACTATAAATTGAATTTTGATATGATGTGCAGAAGTGGGAATCATTTATTATATATTAGGTTCGTAAAGGGGTCTAAGATGACCCAATATGATGGTTAGTATACCATACAAATTTACCTTGTCATTGAACTGCATTTGCTTAGAGCACGGGACAATGTATGGATCAATTCTGATGAAAATTTCAGAGAATTGAACGCAAAGAATGAACGAATGGACAGGACTTTAGATTAAAGATATTTTTGCAAAATAAAAGCTGATATTGGTTAATAAGTAGCAGATCTTAAAAATTTTATGAAATCAAATTAATGTTTTAATAAAGCTACATCTTACATCGATATAAACTAGTTCTCAACAGCTCGACAATTGCTAACAGTAAGGACAGTTGCGAAAGACGAAATCGAATTCGCAACGACAAATAAGTTTATTTAATATTGCACAATTTTAGGGCTTGCAATGACACATTTATGTTTAAAATGGAATTTCCGTATTCGCATTTCTCTGAAAGCTGCTGAGTTGTTGTCGTTTCTGTTGCTTACTTATTATGCATATGCTTAGAGTTGCTTCAAGTATTTTTAAGTGTTTCAATTGCTTGTCAAAAGAACTTCGGAAAAATTCACGATCGCGAGAAGCTTAATTGAAAATCTATGGTGAACTGTAGTAAGACTCGCAGCCGCAGCTAATATTTCCGGTTTGCTGTTGATATTCATACTCCATTTGCCTGGCAAGAGTTGTTGCTAAAAAATTGGCGACAAATCAACGGCAATTGCCTTGACCCACCCAAGCGCGAGCAATGTGTTACAAAGCGCAGGCACGTTCCATTGATAGAAATGAAATAGACATACATATACACAGACAAATGCCAGTGTACGTGTGTGTGGATTGCCCGTGAAAAACCCCGAACGGTATGAGCAGGTGAGTCAGTGGGCTATTATAATACTAAAATTGCGCGGGGAAGTGGAGTAGGCAGAGCTGGCCCCAAAAGTTCTGCGATTGTATACGCACACACACATACACAAACACACGCACACCCACATACAGCAACGCACACACAGTTGGACTAGCGCCGGCGCCATTGGCTCAGACTGTCATTGATTTACCGTTGCGCTGGTCACACTTCGCTGGCTTCACAGACTGGATTCTGTCTGGGCATCCTGTGCATTGGGCTGTATCGCTTCAATCGGTAATCGGATCGATCTGCGGTTGGCCGTTGCGCGTGGCTGTCGGCGTCTACGTAACCGCTGCCAAATCGCAGCCACGCTCTCATCTCTCGTCGCTCGCCACTCGAGTGTCTCTCTTCGGCTAATTAGAGCTAACTGTTTACCCAAGCGCGTGCCCATTGAGTCAGCAGCGGCAGCGACGCAAACGCTGGCAGCGCTGGCTGGCCCTCGTTTTATGAATGAATTCAACGAGCCGCAAGCTGCAATGTGGCAGCGACGCCGGCAGCGGCAACAGCGGCAACAGCAGCAAGGGCAACAGGTGAGCACAAAACGTGAGCGCACGTAAACAGAAAGCAGGTTCTTTCCACTTTTCCACTCACTCACATTTTGAATCGTTCTCATTGTCGCCGCCACGCGGCTCTTGCGCTCACTGAGAGCGGCCGACTGAGCGCGCTGCGAGTGCTGTCATTGGTCCGCTTGGCTGCCGTTAATATATCAGCTGAGCGCAATTCGTACTGTCTGCCCACCAATAGGCAAGGCGACCCACACAAATACAGTTACTAACTACACGCACACACACAAGTATACAGGGGCCACTGTACAGTTGCTCGCTCTCCCTCTCTCTCTCTCTCTCTCTCTCTCTCTCTCTCTCTCTCTCTCTCTCTCTCTGTCTTGCTCGTTTTGACGCCCCAAATGCAGGCTCTTGCTGCATGGGATCTGACTCAAGTTTAATTATTGGAATTAAGCTGGGAATTTCAATGCGGCCAATTTGAACGTTTCGTGCGGGCTACAAAAACAAAACACTTCTATATTTTTATCGTATCTGACTCCAATGGATTTTCCAGTCTTTGCCACTACGTTAAAGGGTTAGCTATACTCCTTAGGGAGCGCACTTTCAGCTGTTAAAACCCCAGCTAGTAGTTTTATTTGGAACAACAAGCTCTTGAAGTAGACTGATTAGCCCGATTAGAACGTTGTGTTAATTAGCTGCAATAATTATGAGAAATTCGTCGTGTCTTAGATTTGAAACATTTTAATAAAATTTTACTCAATCAATTTTAATCAAACTATAAATTCAGACGTCGGGCTAACAAACAATTGACGAAAGATTTATAAAAATATTTTAATAAACAGATCATTTCAGATCAGTTCAAAGTGTAACTCCTCGCAATCGTTTTTAAATTGGATTCCTATTTAAGCATTTTCGTAATCATTTCAGACTCATCCGCAACGAATTCCAATTGCAACGCTAATTTGGCAAAACAAACAGCAGCGATAACAACAACAACAACAACAACGAAAACAAACAAACAAGCCAATCGACTAACCAACCGTTTCAAGCCATTGCCGCCTGTACAGGACACCTGAAGCATGGACTCGATGTGAGAATTGCAGTAAAAATCATGATAAAGCGAAACGATTTTACGCATAATCAAAACAGCACTAGCCTCTAAAAACTCACACCTCGCTGCAGTTGTTGCACACCCACAAATTTACACACACACGCAGTTAGCATAGAAAATGCCACGAAGTAAGGCAAAGCCTGAGGGTTGGGCTCGGGATCGGTTTTGGTTTCGGTTACCGATTTGGTCGGTCTCTGTGTTTGGGACAGGAGCTAAGCAGCGTGTAATGATTATACCCTACCACAGCGCTTGCAACGGGTCGATAAGTGCATGTGCAACAGGTAACAGGACAACGCTTGAGCTCTAGACTGAACGTCTCTGTTGTCCACGAGAAACTATGTATGTTAATAAATAAATTATTGCATAATAATAATAATAATAATTATAAATACAAAATACATTAGAGACGAGACTCAAATAAACTTGTATATGCATTAGATATAAGGAATATTTAAAATGTAGATATATGTGTTTTTTAAAAATATACAAACATAAAAAAGTATCATATGTTTAAGCTATAAAATAATAATATTCAATGAAATTGAAAGATAAATAAGATATAGAAATATATTTTAAATAAAATGTAAGAAAAATTAGGAGTCAAACATAAAAAAGTCAAATTTAAAAAATAATATAAAATATGAAATTGATAAGATATATACAACATATTGGACACATTAAAATAATAAAGATGTATCAAAATACATATAGTTTTATGAGAAACATCTTGACAATTTTAGGGATAATTTAAATATAAAATAATAAAAGTATAATATAATATAATATAAAAGAAAAATAGATATGTTTAAAAATTATAGAAACATATGAAATATATTTAAAAAAAAAAAAAACAATGAATATAAATAATCAAATAACATAACACATTAAATTAAAATTGTATCAAAACTTCCTGATAAATTTGGGAAAAATATTAAATAATAGATATAGAAATATAATATAATATAAGTTAATAGAAAACTAAGATATGTTCAAAAATCATAAAAACATAAATTATATTCAAAAATTAAAATAAAAGTAATGTTAAAGGGCCCATAATATAAAACATTAAATTAAAATTAAAAAATTTAATATAATATACTTTAACATAATATATAATATAAATTAATATAATAGAAAAAGAAGACATATCTAAAAATCATAGAAACATATAATATATAACAAAAGTATATTCAATCGCCATAAGTGGCAGTAACAATTACAGGGCATAAATTAGTCAAGCATTGCGCACTGAGCTCGTGTTCGGTTAACCATTGACTGGTCAGCCCCGACCGGTGCGAGGTCGAGGAAGGTGATCGCCGCTTGGCGTTGTCTGTGGCAATTTGAGCGTATCCTTTCGATTAGATACGGCCGGTAAAAAAAAATTACAGCATGACAGCGGACCAGGGACCGGGGACCGCACACAACAGCTCAATTTTGTAGCAAAATATTTTGTTGTCCAGAACGAATCGCAACTAAAACAGTGTGAGCGACTGCGGCGAGGTCAGCACGGGGATGGGAATGGCAATGGCAATTGCATTGGGAATGGGAATTGGTATGGGCATTGCACACGGACTCATTGGCAGCCGTCGGATCCTTTCGACGGGGCGTCCTGCCGCGCCTGCGCACTCTCTGTGTGCAGACAGCAGCAGCAGGAGCTCATCAATGCAATAATCGTGTTTGTTGTCCATGTAGATGAAGATGTTTTTGGTGCGAATTGGACACATTCAGACACTGATACAAGCATAGATATGTGCATAGATGCACCCAAGGGACGGCATACAAAGGCCGCTGCCGTCTTGATATATGTACCTCGCAGCGAGTCCTGCGAGGGCTGTGTGTGTGTGCGAGTCCTCTGTGTGGCGCGCGGCGAAAATCAAGGTGAGTGCCCCCGCTGCGCGACACGGCTGCTTCCTGATGCTGCTGCGCGGCCAAGTCAACAATTGCACTTACGGTTAGACGCAGGACTCTCTGGCCCTCTGGCTCTCGCCGGCTCCCGGCCATAGGCCCAGCAGCCATGGCCTGTACAGCTGTTCGGGCAAACAATGTGGACATAATTTTATAACAAAGTCGCACAAAACAAAACAAAACAGCAACTAAATTTAATTAGCTCGTCAATTGTCCCGCTTCGCTCGTGATTTTCCAAGTGCCCGAGGTAGATGGGGCAGAACCCTCGAGTCCAGGTCAGTTTTGAATTAGGCGACCGCCCAACAATTCAGCTACCAGGTACCGCCACTAAGGTGGGGCGTTTGCCCTAGGTAACAGCAAGATTTGCAGCTAACCAGAAAATTGACCTGCTGCCATTTGCAGCTGAGAAATTGGCCAAACAGCTGTTGAGCATCAGATATAAATATGCAAAGCGTGGGTTAAATCAATCAGTGCACTCTAAACTGTTGATTCGAGGTGAGTTGAGTTGCCAGTTGCACGAATTCGCTTAGGAATACCTCAGCGAAAACTGAAGAAAAATATTTCTCTGTGAAGTGAATATCCTTTTTTTTTTTTAGCTATGAACATATTTTGGGAAGAAAACTAAATTTGGCTTCTAGGAAATTTCTTTAAACCATATAAACAAGGTACATAAAAGTTGAATGCATAATATGATTTTTGATTCTAACTATTCCAGCTATATAGTTATTTGTATTGATCCTATATTTATATAACTCAAATGATGATTAGATATGTATATGTATATATAGATAAGATATGTATATATAGGTCAGTTATTTTATAGTCAGTTATTTTCAGAGATTTTTCTTTCACTTAGTTCTTTAAGACATATTCTAATATTATTATATTTAAGTATTGATTGATCAGATGATATACATTTTGAGCTTGAAGTTTAAATAAGTAGGCCTCATTTTAATTATACTTATTATTTATATATTAGTAATTGTGCCTATATACATATTTGTTCGCAATATTATCACACCAGATAATTATTATTATATACATCAGATCAGACACATTCTGACTTAATAAATAGGTTTTATTGCTATTCTATTACTTATATATGTTAGTTAATAATAGTAACAGCAAGATAATTTTCGAGGAACATCGAAATATATTGGGGAACAAAAAGATAAATGATCTCTCAACTAAGGCACATAAAATCCCGGACCTAGAGGCGGCCGACGTCCACAAATCGTATACAAATAAAAAATGGATCAGCATATCTAAACAGGTTTTATTTTTTTACTATATTAAAATAACCTATTATTATTATATATATATATATATTTATCCCTTAATGCTTTCATATTCTATGTTAACATATATATTTTATGGTATTCTATCATATATGACAAAATCTTAGCCTAAAGAGAAAGCAAACTAGTCGAATCTTATTTCGAAATATTACATTAAGATAATATACAATTTATAAATAGAATTTAGATAATCTCAGTATAATAAGGAGCATAATATTTTTATTTTCACATACAAATATCTAACTTGACTTAAAAGACCTGTTGAATATTGATTAAACAAGGAACAACTTTCAGCTTTCTTAGACTATTTTTACAGTTTTACATTTGGCGAATAAGGTATATTGATATTTTGGCCGAATTCATGTATTTTATAATTTGTTAACTCTATTTATTTGAATCCAGGAAGTCATAAGGTTGTAGCTGCGAAATTGAGAGAGTTTGCTGAAAATGAAACTCTTCAGACAAAAAAGTGTACGGACACAGAGGGCAAACGAGGCGAGCTCTGCATACTTTGCGGCGTCAAGGCTTCAGCTGTTGCTTAAGCTCTGGCTTATGGGCAGGTAAGTCAGCTTTAGCCCAGTTAAGAGCTTCGTTTACTTGGCAGGCCAAGGTCGTCAGAGAGATAGAGCGGAGTATATCTTGCTGGAGAGTGTGGCAGAGACAGAAAGAAAGCAATAGAGAGTGAGAAAGAGAGCTGCGTATCGAAACAGGGAGAGAGAGAGAGAGCGTGATGCAAAAAGAGATGGAGTAAAAGAGAGAGAGAGAGAGAGAGCTGTTACCTTGGGGCAGGCGTACGGCCAGGTACATTGCCTGATTACTATGAGAGCGCTTTGAGTGAAATCTTTTCATTGGATAAGTAGAAAATGAGCCTGGTGCCTATCAACACAGCGATGGCGACACGCACATACACATACACACACACACACACACGCACACACAGGCGAGCGACCGAGCAGGGACCGGCATAAAAAGTGCTCGACTAGCTGGTTGGTCTGCCATTCGTTGCAAATGTGTGTGCGTGTGTGTGTGTAGGCTGGATATCAGGTACACACAGGCACAGTCATTGGTAAAGAGCGGGGCAGGTCCCGACAACACTCGATCAGGCCTGACAGGCAGGCAGACAAATGGAAATGGACTACCAGGCAGCGCTCCTCACGCACACACACACATGCAGGCACACACAGAGTCAGAGGCCCGACCCGACTCTCGACCCGGCCGGCCCGGGCCGGGTCTTCATTCTTCAGTTTTCTTTTACGTACCGTTCGTTTTTCACATGGTCTTTTGGCTCTGGCTCCGACTGACGTCGCGTCGGTCGCTTCGGTTTCGGTTATCGGGTCTCTGGTGTCTGGTCTGTGGCTGCTGCTGCTGCTGCTGCTGCTCAACAAAGAAAGCTGGTCGAATTTAGCGCAACTTTTGGTTCAGTTCGGTTTTGTGCCTGGACGTGAACAGTAGTGCCCGCGAGAAGTGTTCTTCAGTCTCTACAAAGGAAACTCACAGCCAGACAACGACATCAGCAGCGGCATAACGTATATGAAAAACCATATAGAAACTTTTGCGTCAAACATTTCTTTTTGTTCAAGTGATTTTTCGTGTGTTAAACCCAAGTGCAACAATATAAAATACAAATAATAACAAGAAACAAACAACAAAACTGGATTATACTGCAAATTGTTAATAACAATTTCGCCTGATCAACTTTTTAACTATAATGCGGTGTGTGTATTAGTTTTGTTTTTATATCAATATCTATATCTATATATATTTATTTAGCAAAAATTAACCCTTTTAACAGATGTTTTAAGAACTTAACTCGAAATGGCATTTGGAAAAAGTTGTTAAGTTTCTGTTTTTAAAATATCTTTTGCAATTGCCAGACTTTAAATTTACAAAATTAATTTTTATATTGTTTTTCAAAAAGAAATTCGTAATTTCTCGAATAGCTACGACATGAAAATTGCGCATGCGCAGCGCGCAAGCAATTGCAGAATCGCGTAGAACGCATTGAAAAATCGCAAAATATTTTGAAATATCTCAAAAAAAAAAAATAAAGCAATAACAGCACAGAACGAACAAATGTGTGTAGCTGGCCGGTTTTGAGATTCCATTCAATATTGTCGCTTTAAGAATTGAGTTAGCTGTTATAAATTCAAAGTTTTTGTAAAATATAAAAAGCGGAACATTTGAACGCACCAAAAAAATAAAAAAAAAATGTTACAAATTCTAACAAAATTTTTGAGATACAAGCAAGTTGCATTGCTGTTGCATTTGCATTGTTGAAGGATCGATAATAAAAACGTCCTGTTTCAATATTATATAACCCAGCGACAAAAATTCTTGCCATGTTAATCACTTGATATTCATTGTGTGTGTGTTTATTTTTTCCTCTTTCTGTTCTCTTTTGCATTTTTGCCCAAAAACACAATATTTTTTTTTTATTTTGCTTTTGGAATTTACTGTTACGAAACGCTTTTGCATTTTGGCAATAAACCTTTTTTGGCCCATTGAACACACACGATCAAAAATCCCAATAAAATCATAAAATCTTAAAATTATTAAATATTCATACAAATCATAATAATAACGCAACAAAAATATATATTGTTATATCTACCAAATAGTTGGTTGCCATTGCGCTGCAACCAAAGTTAAAGGCACCAAGACGGCATCGCCAACGGCAATCACCACAAGGACAAAGCCAGCAACGGCAGCAGCGCCCCGTATCAGGCAAAGACTTCAGCGTATTGCGCGGCAGGACAATGCGGATATGTGGTCCACTCTGCTGTTGCCACTGCTGCTGCTCCATTTCATCTATATGCATGCCGCTCTGGCTATGGCCACGGCCAGCGGCGGTCTGACTGTAATCGAGGGCGCCAGCACCAGCAGCAGCACCAGCTCCACCACCACCACCACTAGCACCACCAGCGCCACCAGCAGCATGGCCCTCTCCACGGCAACCGCTGTGGCCGCCTCTGGTCAGCGGAAGCGGCATCGCAAGCGGAACAGCAGCTGGTATGATTATCGCAATTACAACGAGAACACTACCGCGCTCGAGTGGATGAATCCTTGCGGCGGCTCCTACTATACATCATCCGCCACAGAGCGACGTCGAGCCCAGCGGCCCAAGCAGGTAACTAACATTTGGCTAACCGCAGCTCCAAACTTCATTACTCAACATCTCTCTCTATCTCTATCTTTGTCTCACTCTCGCTTAGATCTTCAATCAGTTGAAGCGCGCCGCCGGCACCGAGTACCGCGAGCTGAACAGCACGCAGGAGCAGAAGGGCATCGATATTGGGGACATGCAAGTGTGGTCGCTCCACAAATACAACTATAAATTTCTGCCCAAACTGAAGCCCAATTCAACGGTATGTATCTCTCACTCCCTCTTGCTATCAACCCCACTCTCTCCCCCTTATATCACGAAGCTCGCTCATGCGCCATGTTCTCTTTTTTTCTTCATCGCTCTCTCTCTCTCTCTGTCTCTCTCGTAGATCGCCCTAAAGCGCTGGTACCGCAACATGCAGACCTATGTGGCAAGCTTTGCCTATTTGCGGCGCGTTCAAGTCAATTGGGATCGGCAGTTTTTGAAGCGAGAGTCGTCTGTCGCCAAGGAGCTGAAGAAGCTGCTGCTCAGCTCGCGCAGCATGCTCTGCGAGCTGGAGACGGCGGTAAATCGCACCTATCCGGCTCCGGTGGCAGCTCCTGGCCGTGGGGCAGCCAAACAGCGCCGCTTGATGCAGCTGCCACAGATCTCGCGCAACGACATGAACAGGCGGCTCAAGTTGCGCAGCAAGCGTCGACACGGTGCAGCGGCCGAGACAACGACTGAGGCGGCATCAGCAGAGGCAGCGGCAGCAACTACAATCGGTGAGGCGGACTCCATGGACATGCGCTTTGTGAAGCATCATTATTACGAGTTTCTGCGCACCATGTGGCAGCTGCTGCGGCGCGACAGCAAACGGGAGCGCCAGCAGCGGCGTCAGCGACGCCAGCGGCGCCAGCAGCGGCAGCGACAGCAGCAGTCGCCGTTGCAACAGCAACAGCACCAGCAGCGACAGCGACAGCGCCAATGGCAGCAACAGCAGGAACTGCAGCAACAGCAGGAACTGCAGCAACCGCGGCTGCAGCTATCGCTGGCCATGGCTGGCAATCGAAGGGAGTTCAATGAGGTCTCCAAGCCCCAACTCGATGTGCCCAGAGGTGTCAACGGGCGGCGCGGCAAGCGCCAGCAGCCGCCGCACTCAGCATCAGCGTCAACGTCTGCGTCAGCGTCAGCGTCAACGTCAGCAGCAGCAGCAACAGCAGCAGCAAACCAGCGACCACAGCGCCGCGTGCTGCGCACGTGAAAACTCCACAATAATATTATGTATATTAATCCTAAATGCAACCCTTAGCTCGCCTAGTTTAAGTAAATTATTTGATGGAGTTTGCAAACAAGTTTCTCCAGCTCTTTCTGTAGACCCACACACGCTCTTTCTCTCTCTCTCTCTCTCTCGCTCTCGCTCTCTCTCTATCTTTGTGTTTGTTTTAAGTTTTATTAGTTTATGCCCAAAAGTTATTTATTTATTGAAATTCAAATTCAAATTCACGGCTTATGTTTAAATATAAGATAGTCCTAAGTCCTAGGCTCTCTAGACTCTCACCCTCTCTCTCTCTCTCTATGTCTCTCTCACCAGCTCAGCAGTTGCCGTTCTAGTCACATATGAGCAACCGCAGCAAAGCAAGCACATTCCATATACATTCCTGATCCTAACATTCGTTCTTTAGCTATACGATTATCAAACCCCATTTGACATCCAAACCAGATCGAAAGTATTACAAAGTGTTTTCTCCACTTTTTTTTGATTATTATTTTTTTTTAGTTTTTAAGCTAAATTATATATATATATATATTTTTATATACTTAGTTAGTGTACACACTTTTTTTTCTTAGCTATAGATCTTGTTTAACTGTGATATAGTCGTGAGTGTTAATCGCAAAATGTTTTGCTAGTTTGTATCTTTTTTTGAATATGAGCATATGAATATGTAAATAGATAAGTTAAAACACACACACACATACCATTTTTTTTCTATCTAAAAACATGATTTGATAAGTTGCGACAGAAAGCAAATAATAAATGCAAAAATTAAAAGAATAATAAAAGTGGAGTTTTGCTGGAACTTGATGAACAATTTTTGAATAGTGTAATATAAATAAAACCCATTTTATACTCTTTCTCTTTGAATCAAGGATCGAAAAACTTGATGTTCAACTCGCTGGGGACCAAATTGTGTGTCGCCTCAGATCATATATAATGATTTATAAAATGGAGAGGTCGCCAAAACCAGCAATAAGGATACAAAATAATGAAATATACCAATTTTTCTAGATTCGAAATAACAAATTTACAAGGATCAATTAAAGTAAGTTTCTTTCTCTGATACAGGGTTATGTGAATGAGAAATTTATGATTTTTTTACTAATCTAACTAATCTAATTTTGGAAGCTACTAGGTTTTGATCGATCTGTTGTTTCTATGAGGTTATTAACAAAGAAACAAAATGGAATAAAAGGGATTTACTGAAGTTAGAACAAATATGTTTGGATGCACGTTATACAAAATGCAAAAGTTTTAAAAAGATTTATTATTTCTATTATTTTTTTTAATTTGAATTGATAAGAATCGGCCAGAAATTTTGGCTATAACAAGACAATGGACAACGTTTAAAAAATTTTAGTATTCGTTTTAATTATTAGGTAAAAGCGCTGACTTCGAGGCCTTTCGCTCAAGATTTAACTGCTAAAAACTAATATTTAGCTGGCCGGCTCCAGATCAATGTTAGTTTTTGTCCCTACACCCTGTTTGAAGCTTTAACTTGTTGAGAATTGCAAGCGTCAAGCACCAACAAAAAGGCAATTGTCGATTTTTTAAAAGTTTACATGTTTTGAAGTTGTTAAACGTTTTATTATAATTAATAATTATATTATAATCATATTATTATTAAGCATGGAAAATGGCTACTTATTACTACATCGAATTTTGATTTAGACAAAGCCACATCCATACACTAGACAGGGGCTGGAACCCCACACATCGTTGCCTCTGCAGTCCCGGCTTGCACTGCGCTCGAAATTCTCGATCATTTTCGAAACCTATCGATTGTTCTAGCAAGAAATCAGTCGAGCTTCAATCGCAAGTTGTATAGTTAATATGTTAATAGTAGATCGTAGTAGATTGGTTTGGCTGCCTGTTTCTATTTGGCTTCCTTTTGCGCTCTACTTATTTTATGATCATGCCGTATTCTGTAGCGTCTGTAGCGCCCTTTTAATATTTATGCGGGGTCCACTGATCGTTTGTCTTTATGGCAGCACTCTGCAACGGCCAAACGTTGCAGAGAGAAGCCTTCCAATTGTGCACAGTTCGGAGTTTTATGATCTTTGGCAGCGGCGTCAAACTATTAGCACTTGGTGCTCAGCACGCGCACCCGGCGGGACAGGCAGCTGCATGGAGTCGGAGTCGGAGTCGTAGTTAGAGTCAGCTTGCCGTCCATCGCCTCCACCTGCCTACCTGGCCGCTGTACATTTGTCGATTGGCGGGCAGGTGAGCTCAACGAAAACGTCAGCGTCTCATTGGCCTTGAGCTGGGCCACAAGTACAGACAGCATCAATGAGCCATTTGAGGGCAGCAGATCTTGTGGCTCACAGTAGCTTAGTTGATCTGAGCCAACTAACTCAATGAACTTTGGCAAGTGCTTGGGCTGAGCTGCCGTTTAGCTGGGCTAAGTAGCCCACAAAGTAAGTGCTCACTGTACACTCGCTGGCACTTGTTGCAGCTCCTTGCTGTCGATATACATAGATATACTATATTTATATATGTGCATATGTGTGTGCAATAAAATATAATCCATGCTTTGTTTAAAAAGCGGCTTTACGCAAATTTACTTTTTAATACCTTGGCTTATTGAGCCTAGTATTGAGCCAAGCTTCGTTTAGGGCGCTTAGTGGCACCTTTGAGGCCAAGATCCTATGCGGGGATTAGCGCGGCCAAAACGGAAGCTGGTTCGACTGCCACCAACAGCAGTTGCTGCTGCTACGGCTGCGGCTGCGGCTGCTGCTGCTGCTGCTGCTGCTGCTCATGTTCTGCTGACCAGGGCCAACTGTTGACATACAAATGGATTACAGACCGGACCTGCAACACACTCACACACATACGCAGCAAAAATATTTGAATATTATGATGCTGCCGCTGTGGCTAAGCCGTTTATTGATTGCAATCGAGCGGACTGAGGACAGCGGACAGCGGGCAGCGGAGAGAGCAGGCAGCGGCCAGGAAGCTGGCCGTGTTAGTTAAGCCAGGAGCAGAGGCCCTAAGCCGAGCTGTGCTCAGTGTCAAGTGTCCCCGCTCTTGACCGTTGGCCCAAAAGGGTCTCGGGGCCTAAAGTAGGTGTTGTTATGTTTTTAGCTGTCATAAATATTGTAAAACTTCGTAAATATTTAAACAGCGTGCACAATAAAGGCAAATGACAGAGGCTCGCTCGGGTTTATGGGTTCGGGCTCGGTTTCGAGCTCGGGCTCGGGTTTTGGGTTCGTGTTCAGTTGGCTTGGCTGCGACTCCTGGCAGTCTATTGTCCTAGCCTGGCCATAACGGTGGTTGCTTTGTGGCCGTCACGCAGCAAGCGTGCGAGCGAGCGAGAGAGAGAGAGAGGGTGCAACAGAGACTTGCTACCTGTATATGTGTGTATGTGTGTGTGTTTGTTTTACTTACCTCTGAAATTTGAATATGTCCAGAACCGGGGCCGGTGCTAAAGATTAACAACATTTAATAACCCATCATTTCTCGGTGCATTTTTCGGCTCGTACCGATCCATTCGGTGCCTTTGTGCAAACATTTTTAGCCATAATGCAGATAAATGCATTTTGTGTGTCGTCTTGGCCCGGCCTTTGTTTCCACATTCTGTGTGCCATGTTCTCTGCAACTTTTTGCCATTGTCCTTTTTATTTTACAATTTTATTATTTCTCTTCTCTTTTTTTATTGTCTTCCTGCGCCTATTTCCTAGAAGAGTCCACTGTTTTGGCCCGCACCGAAATTAAGAGCGCTGCCCGAGACAGCGCGTGTGACAGTCTCAGATAGCTGCATCCTTGTGGCTGCCAGCCACTGGCAACAATATGCTTCTCTTTTTTTTTTGACAACCACGCGAAACAATTCAATTAATTTGCTGTTCTTTTTTGGTAATTATACTTGATAAAGAGCGTAATTTTATTGCAATTTTTACATTTGCTACTATTTATGTAATTTCTTATAAAATTGAATAAATTTTGAAAGATTCATTTTTGGTTGTTTTTGACAACCACGCGAAACTTTATAATTACTTTTTTTATACTCACATTTTCTACTCAATATGCCATTTTTTTTATGGTATTAAATATGTTCATTTGAAAATAAATAATTTAATATCAATTATACATTAGAAACTTTTTTTGACATCCACGCTAAACACTTCTAGGAATTTATTTTACAATTATTTTTATTATTTTTAGTTAAATATTTTATTTTTTTTATAAATGGTTAAGGGCGTTTTTTTTAATTGCCAATTTTTCTATTATAAATGTAATTTTTTAATAATATTGAATACATTTTGAAAATATTTAAATTTTAAAAGCAACTATCTTTGGGTTAAAAACTCGAAAAGAATTAAAATCCACAAATTTGTTATTGTTTTAAATAATTAATTAATTATTTTTTAATTTTGTTATTATTAATAATATCAACTATTAATATTAATATTATTGTTTTCATAATTATTCTTATTATTATTAACAATTAATAAATTTATTATTTGTGTATATAATATCAATTTCGACATTATTATTCTTATTATTATTCTTACAACATTAAAAAAAAATACTTTCAATTGGATATTTGAAAATATTAATATATTTATATTTTAAATTTTATATTTTATGTTTTATATTTTGTATTTTATATTTTATATTTTAAATTGTAGATTTGATATTTGTAATATTATATTTTGTCTTATACATACAAAATCGTTCCTGAATACTTTCATTAACATTTTGCACTTCATTGACGTTGCTTGACTTTATTTCGCGTTAATTATGTGATGCACTTAAGTTATTTCCATCATTCAAGCCTAAACAATATGAAATACTTGTAGGGAGACTTTCAACATTTATTCCGATATCTATATTCATAGACCGTGCTGAAAGCTAATTTCAATTGGTTAAATAAGCGGCGATGTTTACAAACAGCTTCAATTAATTTGTCAAATTGCGCGTGTGATATGCATTTTAAAGTGCTGGCATTCTTTTAATTGTTATTGTTAGTGCTCTTATTGTTGTTATTATTTACGTATTCTGATACCCAGTACACAATGAGAGTGCCAAAGTGAAGAATCCAACGAAAATACTCTTTATTGATTGATATAATTTTAA